CATGACTATTGAAAGTGCCTACAACCACCTATAACTGAGGCCACCAACACAGAGTTGATAAATCTGATCACAGGATAACAATACATTCAGAGAAATATTTTGTTTCAGCTAATCAGAATCTTGTAAGATGACAACAAGCTACTCAAAGTACAAAATTTTAAAAATAGCAAATGTTTCCACAAAAGCAATATTTATCGTAGGACAATGTTTTTCTGTCCAAATCTTTCAATATAATGCCCAGGAGACAAATTTGTTTGTCAGAAGCTATTGCTTTGTGATCTCCCAGCAATTTATTGCTAACATTGCAATGCTTTGCAGTAACATTGGACCACAAGTCAGAAACAAGACTACCATTTATGATGTTCGCCTTCCTTAATAACTCTACTGGACCTCTCACAAAACAGGCTTATTTCAGCAGGTTTAAGAGGCCAGGTCTGTAGGTCACAAATAGTTCTTTTTGATACAAGTTGTTTATAGTAATTATGATTGACAACCAACTTTTTCAGAATGCATTGTTATGCTCAACTTTGTCTTCAGGTGGCCTTTGTTGTTGCAATGTAAAACAGTAAGTTATTTCTGTGGTTACACCTTGCAGCAATGTGTGCAACCTATCTTAACAGGCTAATGATCAGCTCACAACAGACATTGTTCCTACAGGGTTGTCACTAAGATTTCAAGTTGCCAGGTAAATACAACAAGTAGGCGGGGAATCAAATGGCTAGGGATTTCTTTTGGTTCTATTTTTCTTCTATTTTCCAATAAAAGTAGCCGGGGGCCACTCTATTAGTAGCCGGGGAAAATGCCCGGCCCCTGGCTCTTAATGACAACCCTGTCCTAGTGCATTGTAAACATTTGTGACCCTCCACAGGAACATTATTCTTAAGGTGAAGGCATGCTGATGATGAACTTCCAATGGAAAAAAATTCAATTCATTTTATCATGCTTTTAGCCACCTTTCCCATAAGAAATTTCTTTCATCTCAGAGAACACGCTGGAGATGTGAGAGAGCAAGTGGAGCAAAAAAGTGTGCTTAAGTTCCCAAACAAATGTCTGCGATTGCAAAATTGCTCTAAACACTTTACATGTGCACAAAAGCACGCAAGGTTTGTTATCTTAAAGGAGAAGTTCATGCCAATGGCAGGTTCCTCACCAAAATTTCAGCTTGCAAAGAGCGTTCCAACCCTATGAAATAATTTCTCATCTAAATTAGCCTGAAATTCAACATCTGGGGGCCGCCATCTTGGAGAACTCCTGGCAGCCTGGTATTCCTTAGTTGCACTGGGTACCAATCTCCTGTCCTCTAGGAGCTTGTTGCTGCCTTTGCCTTGCTACTTTTTCCTACCTCTTTTGGCCTCTCAACCTGCAGTAGCAGGTAAAGCAGATGTAAATTTGGTGTGGCCGGCTAACAAGAAGTGGTAATGTATTTGTTCATGAGGACCGCTTATGACTCATCATCACAGCCTGCAAAGAAAGTCGTGTCCGATAGCCTGGGGCTAGTGGATTTTACTATCGGGCTAGTGATTTTTGTTCTTAACTTGCCCGATGGGCAAGTGCTGTTTTTTTTTGGGAAATTCAAATCACAGAAGGAATAATCAATTCTGCTAATCAGAAAGGGTTTTGGGGCTAGTTGAAATGCCTTGTGGTCTAGTACATGCTAGCTACAGCTTGCCCAGATGGCAGGCTGTAAAGCTGACTTTCTTTGCACCCTGTCATCACCTGTAACACCACAGTTGTCCGCGTAAAGTTGGGCATTTCTGAGGCAGTGCTTGGGGGTTTTAATATAAAACTAATGCATGTTGGAAATTGTACTGTTTCCCCCTCTTCCAGTCAAAATGATTTTGTCTATTAAAAAATTCTCTTGGCTAGGAATGGATTCGCAGGAGACATCAAACATTCCACACTTACGAGAAGTTTCAAAACAGATAAGGGCCAGGCTGATTTGGGTTTAACGGGTAGTGNTACTTTTTCCTACCTCTTTTGGCCTCTCAACCTGCAGTAGCAGGTAAAGCAGATGTAAATTTGGTGTGGCCGGCTAACAAGAAGTGGTAATGTATTTGTTCATGAGGACCGCTTATGACTCATCATCACAGCCTGCAAAGAAAGTCGTGTCCGATAGCCTGGGGCTAGTGGATTTTACTATCGGGCTAGTGATTTTTGTTCTTAACTTGCCCGATGGGCAAGTGCTGTTTTTTTTTGGGAAATTCAAATCACAGAAGGAATAATCAATTCTGCTAATCAGAAAGGGTTTTGGGGCTAGTTGAAATGCCTTGTGGTCTAGTACATGCTAGCTACAGCTTGCCCAGATGGCAGGCTGTAAAGCTGACTTTCTTTGCACCCTGTCATCACCTGTAACACCACAGTTGTCCGCGTAAAGTTGGGCATTTCTGAGGCAGTGCTTGGGGGTTTTAATATAAAACTAATGCATGTTGGAAATTGTACTGTTTCCCCCTCTTCCAGTCAAAATGATTTTGTCTATTAAAAAATTCTCTTGGCTAGGAATGGATTCGCAGGAGACATCAAACATTCCACACTTACGAGAAGTTTCAAAACAGATAAGGGCCAGGCTGATTTGGGTTTAACGGGTAGTGTAACTGTTGTGCATGGTCACAATAATGGTACAAAGTGCTATTGTAGGAACATGCTCGGCTCCACGGCCGACGTCAATGTTAGCTCCTTGAAAGTGTTTTCGCATGTCCTCTTTTGACCGTCCACACCGGTTCTAGACTCGCTTCTAAGATTGATTTTAGCAGACATCCAAAAAGGCCAAAGCGTATTTGGGAAGCGCAAATTAAAAGTAATTTCCTGTTTAAGAATAAGCATGATAATATTTTTCCCAAAAGTGCTTTTCATTCTGCAACTGGTTTCACAAGTTTAAAGTCAAGTAACAGGGACAAAGCACTGCGATATAATTCAGCTTACTTCAAGAAAAATTCCAGAAAAAACTAAAATAACAATTGACGTGGTTCTTCGTTGACTGGCAAAAGTTCGCCTCATTAGAAAATGTAGAACAAAAGTAAAGGCCGTGTAATTCTTCTTGGAAAAACAAACTAGAAAGAGACAAGTGGTAAGATTTAAGGTTAATAGTAAGCAATTTTGTACCTTCTTTTCACTCCGACCCGTTCCTTGAGGTATTCCCGCCATCTTGACTTTCATCTTGGTTTACTTGCCTTGGCTAGTTCCCAGTCTCTCCTTGTCCTTCTCTGCCAGGTGCATTCTCAGGTTAATTCTCAGGGATCCTGCTGGCGTAACTGAGTTAGCCCCTTAGCCTGGGCCCCTTAGCCAGAGATAAATCCTTCAAGTTTTTTTCGTAAACAAGACGCTTGGGTCTTATATTTTACAAAGTATTGGTTTATCGCAATCATAAAGTATAGGTAGCTCCCAACAGTTTCAATCAGAAGTTCAATACATAATCAAGAGAAAAAGATATGAGAAATAATAATAATCACCAAAGTAGAACTGCTTTGATTTTTAATAAAATTCTCTCAACTTATTCTTTGAGAGATTGTTTGTAGGTCAGTCTTGCGTTATTTATAAATGGAAATTGGGGGTGAAAGGATTAATACGCTACTTCTCCATCTATTGATTCTGCAACTTGAAGGGGATGCTTAGTTATGTGTGTTGCCATATCTACTCATCATTAGCCAGCTTCTACAAAAACAAATGGTTTAGAATAATAAATTTTGTTAATCCCTTCCACCCCTAAGGAGGCATCTTTTTTGTATTTAATATCAATAATATGTTGTTGTTAAGTCTGGGTCAAGACTTCCCATGAGCTTTGCCTTTGCTTGTGTCTCCCAGTCTTATCAATTGGCTTTATCCCTTCTGATTCAGCCTGTGTGTGTTCGTTCAAGAAGTCATGATTTAAAATAGACCTTGTTCTTAGGCACTTGAGTGGGCATTGAATCATTATTGGAGACGTTTTCTTAGGTTCTGAGGCAATGCTCTGCTTTGGACGTTCATAAATCCATATGACACTTATGTTTCCAAATGACATCTGACAGGGTAAAACAGAGCAAATATGTACTCTGGCTGTTTCCAGGCACTAGGTGCTCAGGCATAATATTGTGAACATACCCTTTAAGTTAAAAAACCAAGTTTAAAGTTCAATAACAGAAATATACACTCTTCCATTAAAGAAAAAAAATGAGTGACTTTTTTCAGATAAACAAGTAACTTATTTACAGTAGGTTTGCACATTGCTAAATAATAAAGCAACTAAAATAATATTATCCTTAAACAATTGTTGTCTGACTAAATAAGAAATTGTTTGACTTGTTTTCAGGATTATTATTTTGCATTGTAGTCTGGCAAGGATTCTTGAGTTAGCAAGAAAGACCATTATTTTAATAAAATTGTTGATCACAAAATGACTCAGACTAAAGAGAAAAGTATGGTACAGCTTTTATAATATCAATGAATTAAACTGTTGTCTTACAGTCATTCCTCTCAATCAAAACAGGAATTAATGAACCATAACTCCAGTCTGGTTCCATCTTTTGCTACAAGCAATGCATTTCAATAGGGGTAAAAGGATTTATTTTATTATATACAGCTACACAAGTGTCTGAACACTGCTTTTTAAGGAAGGTGCTTTAAATAAACTTAATTTGGAAATAATTAACAATAATTATTCTTCAAGGTAGATAAACAAATTCCTTATAAAAAATGAAAACAGAAAAAAAACAAACAAACAGAACAACAAATATGTGTCATACTTATTATAAACAATTTGTTCACGTAACCTATTCCTAGCATTTAGAGGTGAATGAGGTTCCAAACTTGAAAACTAATATTAATGTAATCTCTCCGTATTGATCTATTAACCACCAATATTTCCTTGGAGTTATGTATTGTCTTGTTTCTGGGATTGTTTGTTTGGTGGGGAAAAGCTTTCAAGTGATATTAATTTTTTCTTTTTTCTGTGATAAAGTTGTTGCACTTGTTGCAAGAGTTCTGCATGTTCATTTAACCAACATTTAGCCACCAAGATTTGATTCTCTTTACACAACAGCCGTCTGCACAGGAATAAACCGAACCTTGTTGTAACATTCGATACTGCAGACTGGGAGATTGTTACCAGAACAAGCATATTTCTTTAAATTCTTGCATCCCTGAGCTGCACATGTTGGTCTTGTTTTTACTGGCCTATAATAATGGAAAAAATATTCAAATGGCAGTGGAGCTTGTGAAGTATTTTAAAGCACCATGTATGCCTTGTTTTTGTTCCCTTATCTTATTCTTTAATTTGCATAGAAAAACAGTCATACTTAGCATTTGTTTTGGTAACCGGATGAAAAAAAATAGATGGCAAAGCCTGCAGACTCATGCATGCCAGTACAATGGTCAAGATAGGAAAATGAAAGCAGTCTCAATATTAAAACACTGGCAGTGGCAGAAAAGGTCCAAGTTCACTGTGATTTTACCTTAGTGTAACATCAACCTTAAGTAGATTTCAGGAAAATAACTACTGAAGTGAAATTAATTTAATTAATTTTAATTAATTTTTTCAATACTATGAATCCAGTTGAAGATTCAAAAAAATAAGGTCAATTTTAGTGCATCCTGGGGAATCTTTTCTTTAAGAGAGGGGAGCAAGGGATGGCGGAGTGGCCACCAATGTGGCCCAGGTTCAAATCCCATCATCGATGCCATATGTGGGTTGAGTTTCTTCTTGGTTCTCTCCTTTGCTCCAAGAGGTTTTTCCCTGGGTACTCTAGTTTTCCCCTCTCCTCAAAAACCAATGTTTGGTGAACCAAATATTTTATTCCAATTTGCCCAGGAATCAGGAAGACGAAGAACCACTATGTGGACGTGCTACCTCTTGATCATTATTTATGTTATTCATAAAAGAAATCATAACGCTTACCCTCGAGATGACTGCATTTGTAATGGGAAATCAAGTCCCTGTGAGAAGGACAGAGCGAATCCACTTTGATTGCTAATGTATCTTATATGGGGTACTTCTTGCTTTTTACGACGGGCCTAAAGAAAAACACTTAGGTGACAATCTGTTTACTGCAAACCCAAACCCCTGTGACCGCTCAAAATTTTTTTTTCTTGAAGGACAAGTAGCTTCTTAAGTTCTTTCCAATGGGAAAGGTTCCAGGCAAGTCATCATGTAATACTTAGAGTAATAGAGAGGAGAAGTGTGGCATCACGCTACCATGGTAGCAAAATTTCTGGATCACAACAATACGGAGCTTAAGCAACTTTGACAGCGACAGCAACGAGAACGGCAAAAAAGCAAAGGGTTTCTAAAAACTTTTCATGTGCATCATGCTTTTTTGTACATTTCTTAGCCATCCTTGCACGATTCCTAATTTCATGCGCCTGCTTCATGGAGCAGGTCAACACAACATAAAAACTTCCTCTTCCTTTTTCTAAACTTTGATATGGTCCTTTCAGATTCAACCCGAGAAAATTTTGCAAACATCTGCTCAAATTAAATGAGATTGAATAAGATCCATGACTTTTTGAAACAGTGCGAATTCACTTTTTAGGTGATGTTTTCGGTTTGTTGTCATCCAGAAATTTTGCAACCATGGCAACGTGACGTAACAACTTCTCCTCTCTATTAACTACAGTGTGCCACAAGCAAGCAATGGCCCTCGGCAAGCAGATTACGAGAGTCTAGTACAAAAAACAAGCTAGAATTCAAGTTTGCATTCAAACCCCATCCCTAAAAAAAAAAAAAAAAAAAAAAAAAAAACAGAACAACAAATATGTGTCGTGCTTATTATAACCAATTTATTCACGTAACCTATTCCTAGCATTTAGAAGTGAATGAGGTTCCAAACTTGAAAACTAATATTATTGTAATCTCTCCATATTGATCTATTAACCACCAATATTAACCTTGGAGTTATGTATTGTCTTGTTTCTGCGATTGTTTATTTGGTGGGGAAAAGCTTTTTCGTAATATTTTTTCTTTTTTTTGTGATAAAGTTGTCACACTTGTTGCAAGAGTTCTGCATGTTCATGCATTTAACCGACATTTAGCCACCAAAATTTGATTCTCTTTACACAACAGCTGTCTGCACAGGAATAAACCGAACCTTGTTGTAACATTCCATACTGCAGACTGGGAGATTGTTACCAGAACAAGCATATTTCTTTAAATTCTTGCATCCCTGAGCTGCACATGTTGGTCTTGTTTTTACTGGCCTATAATTACAGAAAAAATATTCAAATAGCATTGGAGCTTGTGAAGCATAGTAAAGCACCCAGAAAGAATATACTACTATTGAGCAATATACTAGAAACATCTTGCAAATCTTGGAAGGATTAGGGTCACTTAAGTCAAACCCTGTTGGGTGGAGTTAGGAACTGGATGGGTGACCAGCAACAAATATCCTCTCTTCTAGACTCCTACATGTATGCCTTGTTTTTGTTCCCCTATCTTATTCTCTAATGTGCATAGAAAAACAGTCATACTAAGCATTCTTTTTGGTAACCGGGTGAAAAAAAATAGATGGCAATGCGTGCAAACTCACGCATGCCAGTACAACGGTCAAGATAGGAAACTGAAACCTGTCTTAATTAAAACACTAACAGTGACAGAAAAGGTCCAAGTTCACTGTGATTTTACCTTAGTGTAACATAAACTTTAAGTAGATTTCAGGAAAATAACTACTGAAGTGAAATTAATTTAATTAATTTAAATTAATTTTTTCAATACTATGAATCCAGTTAAAGATTTAAAACAATAGGGTCAATTTTAGTGCATCCTGGGCTATCTGCTCTTCAAAAGAGGGGAGCAAGGGATGGCACAGTGGTGAGAGCCCTCACCTCCTACCAATGTGGCCCGGGTTCAAATCCCAGCATCGATGCCATATGTGGGTTGAGTTTCTTGTTGGTTCTCTCGTTTGCTACAAGAGGTTTTTCTCTGGGTCCTCTGGTTTTCCCCTCTCCTCAAAAACCAATGTTTGGTGAACCAAATTCCAATTTGACCAGGAATCAGGCAGATGAAGAACCACTATGTGGATGTGCTACCTCTAAATCATTATTTATTTTATTTATAAAAGAAATCATAAGCTTACCCTCGAGATGACTGCATTTGTAATGGGAAATCAAGTCCCTGTGAGAAGGACAGAGCGAATCCACTTCGACTGCTGATGTATCTTATATGGGGTACTTCTTGCTTTTTACGACGGGCCTAAAGAAAAACACTTAGGTGACAATCTATTCACTGCAAACCCATACCCCTGTGACAGCTCAATTTTTTTTTCTTGAAGGACAAGTAGCTTCTTAAGTTCACTTTCCTAATGGGAAAGGTTCCAGGCAAGTCATCATGTAATACTTTAAGTAATAGAGAGGAGAAGTGTGGCATCACGCTACCATGGTAGCAAAATTTTAGGATCACAACAATATGAAGCATTAGCAACTTTGACAGTGACAGCAACGAGGACGGCCAAAAAGCAATAGGTTTATATTAGCAAAACAAAAACTTTTTATGTGCATCATGCTTTTTTGTACATTTCCTAGCCGCCGTTGCACGATTCCTAATTTCACGCACTCACTTCATGGAGTAGGTGAACACAACATAAAAACTTCCTCTTCCTTTTTCTAAACTTTGATATGGTCCTTTGAGATCAACCCCAGAAAATTTTGCAAACATCTGCACAAATTAAATGAAATTGAATAAGATCCATGACTTTTTGAAACAGTGCGAATTCACTTTTTAGGTAATGTTTTCGGTTTGTTGTCATCCAGAAATTTTGCAACCATGGCAACATGACGTAACAACTTCTCCTCTCTATTAACTACAGTGTGCCACAAGCAAGCAATGGCCCTCGGCAAGCAGATTACGAGAGTCTAGTACAAAAAACAAGCTAGAATTCAAGTTTGCATTCAAACCCCATCCCTCCGCCATGGTTGGTTTTGAGACTGCTTGCTTGTCTGGTGTTACAGTTGACTCCTCGCTAACTTGAACCTCGCGCTAACTCGAACCAAAATCGATTTCCCCTGGATTTCTGTTATACATTTACGGTAATTTTACCCTTAGTAACTCGAACCCTCGATGACTCAAACCTCCCGCTAACTCCAAGTAGTTTTTGTTTCCCCTCAGATCATTTCTATACAATTTTACCCTCGATAACTCGAACCATGTTTTCAGCCCTTAAAACGTCGGGGAAAATACAGAATACTGGCGTTGAAACTTGGAATTTTGAGTTTCCCATTGACGTGTTGTAGGAGTATAGTTTACTAGTAAAAGCTGATGTTGTTTGTCGCAAATCTAATGCGAAACAGCTTTACCTCTCAAAACAGTAAAACTGTTTAGATTATGTTTTGTTACGTTACGTTCTGATTCAATCTAGAAGTATCTTTTAATTTTCACTTGAAATTTCTACAATTAAATGTGATTAAAATGTTCACTGTGCAGTAAAAACTGTTCTTTTCCTTACTAACGGCTATTTTCTTCGAGCTCCCGATAACTCCAACCTTTTTCGATTGCCCTTGAAGGTTCGAGTTATTGGGAGTTGTTTCCTTGCTCTATCCTGGTCAAGGACAAAACCTGCCTTTTTAAGGGATGTAGCTGACAGACGAGTACCAGTGAACTTACCTGGCTGAAAGTAAGCTTATCACCGGCCCAAATCTCTCTGGAAACGAAAGATGTGAGGCAATTTTGAAGGTACAGTTGAGTAAAAAAGCTGGCTTGACTACCAAATAAGCCTAAGCCTGCTTAGCCTTTCCTTAGCTACATTTATCCCTGCTTATTACAGGTTGGTATTACCTTCTCCTCTTCTCTACGGGACCTAGAAGCTTCTCGATCCAGCAGTTTCTTGACTGTTTGCGCCTGCAAAGAAACCAGACAATTTCTTGTTTATTTTAATTTTGTATTATTTTAAAAAAACTTTAAATTGTAATGCAAACATTAAAATGAACAGTAACTTCAGTGAATGCTTAAAAGATGTTATAGATACTTGAATGTTAAAAAATATACCTTGTTTTCCTCAATCTTTTTCTGCATTTGTTGTTTTCTCTTCTTTGCTCTTTGCTTTCTCCTCTTTTGGGCCTCTTCTGTGTCTTCATTCTTCCTTCTTGGTTCTGTGAATCATATAGCAGAAGGCACAATTACACACTGTAAACAAGGTGACCTATACTACATAATATATTTTTTTAATAATAACAATAAAAATTAAAAATATGTACATAACTTACAGAAATGTTTGAAGTAAGAATTAAGCACTGTACAACATTAAGAATCATACAAATCATTAAAAAACAATCACTGTGTCATTAACGATTCCTTAAGGCTCACATGCGATCAATGGCTCTTGCAGGCAGTCCAGTGTTTAAAATTACGTCATGACAAAAGAAAATTATCCGTCTCTGATATTAAAAAGAAACAAGTTAAAAAGATTAAAACTTCATATTCCTAAAAAAAAAAATAGATTAATTCAGGCAGGCTCTAATGTTTTCGATCTGTAAATCTGAGTCAACAAAGTCTAGCTGTCGTCTTCTGGATCTTGAGCCTCTCAAGCATAGTATCACAGACCATACAATGGAGAAACACACTTTAATAATAATGATAATAATAATAATAATAATAATAATATTATTATTATTATTATTATTATTATCATTAGCAACTGTAAAAAAAACTAACAAAAAGAAAATAATAGTTATTATATATAATTACCTGTTGGCAATTCCAAGAGTTGATTCTCTCCCTCGATTTCATGCCCAAGCATGGCTCTCTGAAAATACAACCATTATCATAAACAAAAAGCTTACTTGTAAACAAAATCATACCAAGTGAATAACACTAACATACAGTCATGTTAGTCAGTCCAGTATTAACGTCATAAAGATGAAGTGTTCAAAAGATAATGAATGGAACCATTTTAATAAAACAAATGTTTCAAAAAGCTTTGCATGAGGAATTTGCATACATCTTAGGAGAGAATAACAATATTTTCCACAAATGTATTGCAGTGCATAGGACTTGCAGGGCAAAAAGGTGCTTCTTTATCTCCACCAGGTTTTATGGTTATTTAATAAAAAAATATATATTAGAAAAAAAAGAATGGTTAAGAATTTTAAAAAATAATACCTGTCTGGCAGTCATCATGCTCACATCCTTGTCCTGTTTTACTCGACCAAAGTCATCTAGTTCACCTTTTTCCAATGCATCTAACCATTTCTGCTCTTCCTGGCTGCAAAATTAATAATTATTATTATCACCAAAATCAGCAACAATTATTTTGCTCAACTTTAAACTCAAAGGGGTGCCACAAAAAAAACACTCACTTCCACCTTTTTTATTCACGAGCGAACAAAAGGTAATTGGAAAGGAGAATTGAGCAATATTTGTCAGATGTCACTGGGACTTTTTTTCCAGACACATCTTCAACCAGTCCCACATTTGTGGAGGTTGTCCAATACTGTGGACAAGATACAGGGCTCAAAATTGTGACTGATATGGTCGCCAATGAGACTAACATTATTTTTCTCCATGGCGACTAAAAAATCTGGTTTTGGCAACCTGATTTCTCTATGATTTAGACTATTTTAAATTAAAAGAGTAAAGCATATGCTGACTTCTGTCTGCAATATTTTCAATCAATCAAATCTGATGAATCCTGCCATACTATAAGCTATGTCATTTAGTTTTACTATAATGTGCCCTTCTCCATTCTAATTTTCTTCTTTTATTATTATTATTATGTACACGTAGTGTAAGCAACTTTGTATTAATTGATATTGTACAACTAATGTATTATCTATAGGATGGAGTAAAAATACAATACAATACATACTGGCGACTAAAATTTATATCTGGCGAGTATATTTCTCCATTTGGTCATCAAGAGGTGACCTGAGGATTTTTTTAGTTTTGAGCCCTGTGATACCAGGGGAGAAATAATGTTTTACAACTCATATGAGGGGACAAGTTGTGTCCACTCGACAGATGGAGTTGTCATGTGGACAAATCCGTCTCATTAAGGAGACATGAAATTTAGAGAAAGGTAGCTTATGCAAGGGTCATGGCAATGGTCGTCAGGTTATACGAGTCATACAACTGGACAACTGCATCTCATTAAGAAGACATGAAATTTAGAGCAAGTTAGCTTAAGCAAGAGTCACTGCAATGGTCGCCAGGTTGTATCAGTGAAGTAATGAGATGCACTTTCCACTTTCCGACAACTCAGTTGAGTGGACACAACTTGTCTACCCACACGAGTTGTAAAACACATTTTTCCACTCATATCATGTCAACTGGACATGACTGATCTCTCTTGTTAATATTATTTCAAAAAATATAACTTACTCATCAGAATCATCAACAGGTTTTTCCGTAACTTCAGGTTCATCTTTTTCACTTCCTAAGGAAATAATTAACAAGAAATGGTTATCAAATTAATGCTTCAATAATCTCTCTTGATTATTGTGTCACAGCAATTTTGGTTCTAATGCACTTCATACAATCCTAGATCCACCTCTGAAGAGGTCTGTTTTCAAGAGAAATGCCAGCAACCACTTTGCTAACAATCAGTGATAAAAAAAACCTTGTGATCAGCTGGTAAATCTGAACTTACCTTGCCAAGATGGCTGGTAATTTTCCTCCTCAGGCTCTTCTTCCTCTCCACTGGTTATCACTGGTTCTGGTATTTTTACATGGACTATCTTTGCCATTCTGAAAACAAAAATAACTTCCCTTACATCACCACTACCCGTAACTTACTGCGTACAATGTAGCAAGATGGAGTATAACCTAACTGACTTGTAAGAGTACAACTTTAACCAAAGTAAATCTAAGTATAATGTCTTATTTGCCTTGTTGCTTTAAAACATACAACACACTCCAAACACAACTTGAGGCAAAAACTTAACAAAATAAATGTTTTTACTCAACNTTTTAGTTTTGAGCCCTGTGATACCAGAGGAGAAATAATGTTTTACAACTCATATGAGGGGACAAGTTGTGTCCACTCGACAGATGGAGTTGTCATGTGGATAAATCCGTCTCATTAAGGAGACATGAAATTTAGAGAAAGGTAGCTTATGCAAGGGTCATGGCAATGGTCGTCAGGTTATACGAGTCATACAACTGGACAACTGCATTTCATTAAGAAGACATGAAATTTAGAGCAAGTTAGCTTAAGCAAGAGTCACTGCAATGGTCGCCAGGTTGTATCAGTGAAGTAATGAGATGCACTTTCCACTTTCCGACAACTCAGTTGAGTGGACACAACTTGTCTACCCACACGAGTTGTAAAACACATTTTTCCACTCATATCATGTCAACTGGACATGACTGATCTCTCTTGTTAATATTATTTCAAAAAATATAACTTACTCATCAGAATCATCAACAGGTTTTTCCGTAACTTCAGGTTCATCTTTTTCACTTCCTAAGGAAATAATTAACAAGAAATGGTTATCAAATTAATGCTTCAATAATCTCTCTTGATTATTGTGTCACAGCAATTTTGGTTCTAATGCACTTCATACAATCCTAGATCCACCTCTGAAGAGGTCTGTTTTCAAGAGAAATGCCAGCAACCACTTTGCTAACAATCAGTGATAAAAAAAACCTTGTGATCAGCTGGTAAATCTGAACTTACCTTGCCAAGATGGCTGGTAATTTTCCTCCTCAGGCTCTTCTTCCTCTCCACTGGTTATCACTGGTTCTGGTATTTTTACATGGACTATCTTTGCCATTCTGAAAACAAAAATAACTTCCCTTACATCACCACTACCCGTAACTTACTGCGTACAATGTAGCAAGATGGAGTATAACCTAACTGACTTGTAAGAGTACAACTTTAACCAAAGTAAATCTAAGTATAATGTCTTATTTGCCTTGTTGCTTTAAAACATACAACACACTCCAAACACAACTTGAGGCAAAAACTTAACAAAATAAATGTTTTTACTCAACTGGGATAGGTCATTGATGAGCATCACATATAGTGCTTGCAACACCAACTTCTTTTATCATCAAATATGACTTTGTTAAAAGTGATGTAAGATATCCTGGTGTTTCCAATTGATGACAATCTATATCAATCAATACCAATCGATATCAATCAATCAATTTATACTGATAATGGATGACCAATCGATTGCGAAGATTTGTGTGGTTATCGATTGGTATGGATTGGTTTTCCGGTCATCTATTTCCACTGATTGGAAATGCCGAGGCAAGTGGGTAATTCAAGTACACGAGTAATGGGGTATATTCTTTGCATTGAGAAGACTGGGTCGGAATTGTATCAATTGATGAACTGTTTTTGTGTGGTTATTGATTAATCATCGATTGACCGATACTAACCAATACCAGTCGATACCAATTAACTCATTTTATCGATTGATATTAATTGATTGATTGGTTTTCCGATCATCGATTTCCATCAATTGGAAACAACGAGAAGATATACTTCATCTCTTCTTCTTTACTTTGCTGACATTATTAATCCTGAAGTTACTATTCTTTGCTGACATTATTAATCCTTGAAAATATAATACAGAGTCATAGCTGCTACTATCTTTAGCTTATAACAGTGTGATAAGTAAGGAATTAAATATGAAAAACAAATTTTAAAAAAAACACACACACAGAAAAAAAAAGGTAACTCACTGTGTTGTTGCCACAGTTTCACCCCTAAGCTTGATTTTAAGTTTTACAGCTCTTCCACCACTTTTATCAACATCCTTTTCTTTTTCCCGAGATTTGTTTTTATCCTTGCTCTTCTCCTTTTTGCGCTCTTCATCATATCCCTCAGGGCCATGATCCTTCTTCTTCTTGTGCTTTTTGTGCTTGCGCTTATGTTTCTTTTTAGGTGAAGTTGACGATGATTCTATCAAAATTCATAAACATAAAAAGGCCTGTTGTAATACTTTTTGGTAATAGTAGTTTCAATTTGAAAGTAAGTGCTGGCGTCAGAGTGGGAAGAAAATATGGGGAATACAGTTTAAAAATAAATAAAGTAAAGAAAATATAAATGACACCTGGGAATTAGGCTGGGTAAGCCTTTTTACAAGAAAAATGTGTTATTTCCATGCATTTGTGATTTACAAAAGAGGAAAGCCCTTCAAGTAAATTTCTGGATAGCAAGCAGCTGATAAATGAGGCCTGAATTTTTAGTAATTGCTTGTTTATATTTTCATGGAAATAATTTCATCGAGGTCATGAATGGTTAAGTGATGAATCCCAAGGAAGACAAGATATGTCTTTGGCTGCTCCACTATGTCAACAATTTTTGCTGATTCGCCAATGGAGGAGCAACAATATTGACACATGGGTATTAATCAAATTTGATTTCAGCTTAAATTTTTTTAACGTATGTTGATTCGTAATTTCCTTTGTCTTCTAGGGCTAGGAGACATTAGAAATTGAGAATCAACCTAGGTTAAATGAAAATTAACCTGAAATCAAATTTGACCTGTAAAACATATACAGCTAACAACTTGAAATCTTAGTGACAGCCCTGTATAATATTTCATAATTTACAGAACAGTGTGTGTCAAACCCAAACACTGTCCATTTCTTAAATGCCACAGCTAGAAAATGTCTTCTTGTAAGGGGTGGGGGAATATCAAAAAATTTTTTCATCTTCATTTACAGTTGTATGCGACACATTGCACCAGCTACACAGACTATGATAAAAAGTCCCCTCAATCAAACGAATCCAGTTATATAAGGAAGAAATCAGGGGGATAATTTTTTATTGAGACGCACTTGAACCAGGGGACTTTGTCCTCTTAAATTCCTATTGGGAGAAATTTTCAACTCTGCTCTGCCCATTATCACTATCCCTCTGATTGGCCTCAGGTCCTTCCTCTAGGGGAAGCCTATGACATGTACAGTAGGGCACCTTGTGAGCTATATATCATATCGAATGCAAAATAAGAAGTTACCTATGTAGAACACAAGTGCAAGTTCAGCTTGGTAGTTTTAAAAACAAAATAATAAATTTTTTTTAATCCAAACTTGCACCGGAATAGATGGTTTTCACAGTGACATCATCAAATTGTAAAGTCAAAATAGCACGGTTTTACGAATTCTTATTAACTCTAGGTTGAAGATAAACAAAAAATAAATCTTTCTACGAGTTTCCTTTACCGTAGCATGTTTCCTTTCAAAAATACAGCAGTTTGAACTTCCCACTTTTCACAGTGCGTGACACCAAAATAGGAATGCTGTCTCATTGAAAAAAGGTCTCTCCTCTTGATTTTCAGCAATATAACCATTTCAAGTAATAGAAGATATGTTTATGCGCACATATGCTAGTTCTCGAGTCACAAGAAAGAGCTTTTATAGAAAAAGTGAACTCTAGATGTTTTGTTGATTTCCAGCGGCCATATTGGTGGACCAAAATGGTACACTAATATGGCGTCTCCATACAAAGCTTCTACAAAGGTGCGCGAAACGTTTCGGCAAATAACTCAGAAACCGTGGGTCACAAAGACCTGAGACTTGGACAAATCGTTTTTATATTAGTCTTTTATAACATTCATTTTCTTGCCTTCTTCCACTGGACGGTTTCCAATTTATTTTTTTGCTGCGTGACAGTGAAAACGATCTATAACATTGTTCAGATTGTGTGACAACCAACATCTTCTTTTTGGAACACATGATACCATTGTAAAGAAATCGACGAGATCGGTAGTCCTCGGTGAATATGTTTTAAAACAAGAAGGTGTTTACAGTCCTTTCTTGAAACAAAATCCAGGTATGGAGTTAGAATGCTATGAAGTATCGGTATTGAGCTAATATTCAAGCCTTAATCATATCCAAAAAACCTCACTTAAAAGTAGGAGCACACCGCGTTAAATAAGTTAACTACCACGTGTAACAAAAATCAGGTAGTTGATCTTTATATCACGCGGTTTAAAGAAAGAAAAAAGCGACGTTTTTATGTAAACTAACCTCTTGTATCGTCTTCGCTTATTTCCTTTCTTTTCCCCATGTTCAACTTTTCAACATGGCGGCTCGCCTGCCTCATTTTCATGATCTTCCTTTCTCGTTCTCAGTCCCCTCGTTTGCAGTCCCACTTCGGGTTTTTACCGTTCCCAGAGGAACTACAGATCACTTACGCTATCGTTTTGTAAATAAGTGACAAAAACCAAGGCCACAATTCTGAAGGGCAATGGTCTAACATTTTTAAATTGGGATCATATTGATAATTTAGAGTCCAGCAACACGGATTTTCACTGTAGATTCAGTGACAGACTCACTGTAGACACTGTGGACTGTAGACTCTGCTCATTCAAGAACCACAGCCCTCTGCAGGAGCCCATGCTCCTGCCCTCTGTTAATGTTAACGTCGGCAGTAGGAAGCTGGGCATTATGACCTGTCTGACCAAGAGAGGATAGTGCAAAGGTTCCATACGAAGGATGGTCACGCAACGCGGTGGGGAGGCGCGTTGCGTGATAGATACAAAAACATCGCTGGTTTTCAGTGTCACGTCATTCAAAATAGATAAATAAAAATCAAAACTGTTCAATAGATAAAGTCCAGAATCTGGTAAATTAAAGGAAGTAAATAAGCAGAGACCTCGCCAAGAGACGCCATGCAGATGTCCATCCAGATGGGCACCAACATGGCGGACGGAAACCAACAGAAACATTTGTTACCGAGTTTTGCTACAAACTAAAAGTGTGAATTTATCCCTCACGTAACTCATAAACCTTAAAGTAACACGTTTGCAAAAACATGAACTGTTCAGATAGCAAAATTTTCCAGAAAAATCCCACTACGTGACAGCTCTCTCGGCCGTCATGTAATTACCCCGTCACGCAAAAGCTTACAAATTCAAGCGTACTCTATCACAAACCAAGAACCCTATCGAAACGAAACTTTGTATGAAAGTTAGTTTTCAGTTACTCTGATACATCATGAAAAGTAAAATCTCAGTAGGATCGATAGATCTGTAGTTTTTATATTAGTGACGTCATGAGAAAACCAACAATAGGTCAGACAGTCCGTAAAAAAAACGAAAAAAAAAAACAAGCAAAACAAAACAAAACAAAAACTGTCGAATGGGACAGTTTCATAGGGCAAAACAACAACCTCCGTTTGCGTTTACGAGATATTTTTCTTTCGTTTACACTCTAAGCAAACAAAGGTGTGAAAAAATTCTTTAATAGCAATGTATTCATTACGTACATAATTTCATTGTTTAGAAAACATATCATACTTCCTCTTGATGCGGTTAAATTGTAATTTACTGCCCACTTAGTCTTTCTTATTTACCCATCATCTTTCTTTATTAATTCATATTATTATACAAACAGTCAACCCTTTTCTGAAGAACATCTCTCCACAGCGGCAAAAAGCCTATGTTTTATAGATACATACTTTGACTTTCAAAATGACAAACGCATAGGCTGTCAAAAGGTGTGTCAAATGTCAACAACAGCCCTATTCAAGGCTACACCATGAAATCATTCACTGATATATTTCGATAGTGTTAGGTTTAACACACTACCACAAGCATTTTCAAACGTAAATGTTCTACCCTTTCCCCCAAATGGTGTCACATCACACCTCTTACTCCTTATCACGGCCACCACCCACGTTCTCAAGAGTAAGAGCGCCGTTGGCGACAGTTGCGACTGTATTTGACGAGATTCCCGTTATGGTCATGTTTTTCGTTGGCCATTTTTTGCCTAACTCATGTGCGGCGTTTTCCCAGGCCTTCTCGAGGTAAATTCACCTCGGTGATGTACCCATGGTGTCACGTGACCCGAAATGTCTTGGCCGCGCGGAATAATGAGGCCTAGGGACTAGGCAAGGCCATTTCGAAGTTTTGAAGTTGTGCGTGAGTCCGAGCGGTGGTGTGTCCCAGTGCACTATGGGATACTTTTGGGAACGCCGTCGCCATTTCCGTTGGCTGCTGCGAGGGAAACTGGGTCCCCCAAAACAATTCCACAGTGCAATTTGACACAATACCAGACCCGTATCATACACACTCCAAAAATGGCCCATTGCAATCGTGTATATTACTTGTCACTTCAACGACGTCTTATTTCATACAAAAGGGATTGAACTGACGCTTACTCCTTCTTAATATTCTTAAGGACCAAAAAAATAGAAAGCCTGTAAGAAGAAAGTAGAGGCAGGTAGAGTAGAATACTGTTCAACAGCATATTAGGAATATATTTCGAATATAAAACTAAACACTATCATCGCTTTACATTTTCCAGTATTATATCTTCCTCCTCATCATCCGTATCATCAGAGTATTCGTTGCTAAGCAACGCCTTGGAGTTAAAAGAGTTCAACGAACGCTCGTGGTCGTAGTCCATTACATATCCATTTCGTCTGACATTCATATGTTTTCTGTAACGACTCAATCGCCACAATCCAACTACAACAATAGCCAGCACTATAGCTATCATGAAACTGAGTCCCACCATCATGGTAACTGGCAATCCTAACACAAGGCTTTGCTCGTGCAATTGAAACTGGACTTGTGTCGCCGGCTCGTTTGGATGAACGTAAAGGTTTAATGTGACCGCCTTATAGCCTGGTGCCGAGGCAGTAACGTCATAGCTTCCGGGAGTTAGAAGCCGCCAAAAATCCCCGTCTTTAGCCGTCGTGACGTCATGGTGGCGATTTTTAACTGCTATTAGTGCGTTGGGTATGGGAGATCCTGTATCATCATACACGACACCTTTTACACCATGATGTATCTACAATAAAAAGAGTGTTTAGAAATGGTATGATTTAAACACTTAAATCTTCACGCGAAAATCCCTATTCCGAATACCAAACAACAAAGTAAGCACCTACTGACCCCTTACGCACGCTATGCGAGTTTAAACAACCAGGACATATCCCAACCAACGCCCTAAGCT